AGAAAAGACATACATAAAAGTTGAAAAACTGCAAGTAAAACTCTCTAAAATTAATAAATTAATGTGCATGTCTAATTTGCATCCCTGCATTATAACTAGGCTGTGTAGTTTACTCTTTAAATAATAGAATCAATTTACAACAGTATAACTTTCAGTCAGTAATTTGCAAAATTGGTAGTTGTACTTTCCAATTTCTTTGAAGTATATTTTGCAACAATTCAGTGAAGGATATCAAATTATTTTTGATGGCCCCTTATTTACATTGTGTTTAATTCTTTTGAGACAGACATTTAAAGTACAGACACACAGAAGAAAATCATACATCACCAAATCATTACTGGGTGGTTATGGCATAAACCATGCACGACAGAGAAAAGGAGAGATAATATTGAACATTTCACATTAAATGTTTTAGTATCTTCTTTGTATACATTTCTGAGAAAACTGATTTTCCACCTGACTCATCGACATACTTCATAGCCCATTAAAAATCTGCACATCCAAACCACAAGTTTTGTTGAAGAACCATCCTGCTTCTGCAACATAATACAGTAGGAAAATGAAGTACCACTATAGCTAGTTCACCCCCATAGCACACTTGTAACCAAAAATACTCAGTTGCATGCCTGGAGAAAGATTCTCACAAGCTTCTATTAATTTTATAATCTCAACTTTTATGAGATGTATATCCACAGGGCATATTTCTAATCACTTAATTTATACAAAAAAACAAACACTTACTATTATCCTGACAAGATATTTATTATACTTTTTTTCTGTAGAGTGATCACATATTTAACTTTCTCTGTTGAAATACACAAATACCATGTATACTCAGCTTCACAAACAAGAAAGCTGACAGTAGTACTCCTGCATCTTTACATTATTTGGTACAGTTCACTGCTTGCTAATAAAGTAACTGTGATTCTGCCTTTCACAATACAAGGGTTCAAAGAAAGTTGCCCACAAATAGCCTTTCATAGTGCATATACCTTGGATGGGTTAATATTTTGTAGTGTTACAACAGTTGTTTAAAAAAAATACTTTCCCCACAATGACAGATAAATGAATTCAATAATTGACTGGACAGGTATTGTTGAACTGACTGAAAGCTAAGGATCATTTTGTGTATACTCACCCACAATCTGAACAAAATAAATCCGAATGAGATCACTTGTAAAAACAAAGTATTTTATTGTTTAGCAGTTCAAGTAGAGATGTTTAAAGACCAGATTTTTCAGTCCCAAAAGTTTTGCAGCCCTACTGGTAAAAGCAGGGCTGTGGAGTCCGTACTCCTTCATAAAAGGTAAACCTACTAAAATGGTAAATGGCACCATAAGAGATTTTATCACCATGTTAATCATCAGCCTACTTTTTAGACTTATAACCTATATTTAAATATACGTCTAATGGTTATTACAGAAATCAGTTGATTTGTAGACAGTTTGTATTCTTAAGGTACTGGAGCCAAAGTTACAAAGCATTATTCCCTCACCATGTGGCTCAACGCGTCACTGAATCTCCCTAAGTGCGAGGCTGCCGGCGGCTCACAGGGTATAGAAATTGTTCTTAAGATTTTATATCGAGGTCGGAGTCGGTACATTTTTACTGACTCCACCTAAAATTGCTTCCGACTCCACAGCCCTGGGTAAATGAAGCGTACACTCCTAATAGCAACACATACAAGGCTTATAAGATGCAAATTAATGGAAGTCCACTTAGGTTACTTATGACTGAAACATCAGTAGATGAAAGAAGTCTATTAATGATACAATGTGTGTATTTATAGGGAAGTACTTGAGAAAAACAAAGGAGAAAGTCTTTTTTTTGTGATGTCTTTCACACTAAATCTGCACCACATTGTGAGATTACAAGATGTTAGCATTTTTGTAATGGGCATTGTGACAGCCTGAGGGGTTACCATGGGCACATTCACAAGTATTATGTTTGATCACATTAAAAGGAAAACTGGTTCAAAATGTTCTTCAATGTTCTAAAGCTGAAGCACAAATAGGAATATTGTTAGTAACAGTGATGACCAAAAGTAATATTTTAGCCTCTACTGATCAGATTACATTGCTCTGGAGACAAATTATTTAGTGATGGAATTCTTAATTGGGAATTATGTGGTTTTAAATGTAAGAAGACTTGAAATTAATGTTTCATCTGCAAACATTTGGCATGGCCAGCAACATTTTAATTTAATATACCATATTTTAATAACATCTTCTATTGAAAATAGCGTAAAGTAAAAGCCACATTGCAGTGAAGTCTGGATAATTGTGTAATGGTGCCAGAATGTAGATTATACTGTGATGCGCATAATCTCCTGAAGAAACTGCCTACAAAGGCATTTACCACCTGCATTTAGTTAGACCAACCCATATTCCCTTGGTCACCAGTATATTCTGTAACATGTTAAAGATTATATAAAATACAGCAATAAGCAAAATTTCAGTTTGTACTTACTAATGTTACTCAACCATTGTTCCATCTGTAGAGGGGAAAGTTTCCAAAACTTCAATTTGTAACTGATCTACACCAGTGATTCCAATGAAGTGCATCTCATTTCTAATAGGGCTTTAACTGACCTTCATATAATGCAGATGTGAAACTTATAAGCATATATAACAACAGGTAGGCTTTATCTGGTCTCATGCAATTACTAATAATTTATTGCTCTGTAAAATTCCACATGTTTAACCAAAGTCGAGTTGCCAAACCAAAAAGTAATTTACACACTTGCTGCAATGCTGCCACAAGTTGTTACAGGGCAGTGCAGTAACAGACTTCTCAAGGGCATGTTTACAGTTGGAAACCAGTATTTACTAGATCAGATTGCCAAAAACATGAACACATTTCGTATACCAATATGTACAAGCACCTCAGAGAATTCACTGAACAGCAGACACCCATGCATTGTGAATAAATGATAAACTTGAAATCCACCCCCCAATATAACTAAAAATGGTGAGGTGGGATCGAAAATCACAAGTTTCAAGTCTTAAAAAAGAGGTATTTACATCCATTAATTTAACACCAGGTTGAGAAACACCAGCTATAAAACTGAATTTATCCATCTGTGGGTCCAATTATTGTCAAAATTATCAGCAAACTGGGGGTTGTCACATCCACAGCTTGAGAACTGTAAACAAAACACAGGAATACAGGACAAAAATGTGCAAAAAACTTAATGGCATTTGATTAACTGATTTTTTGAAAAGTTTATTTATCCCTATGAGATACAAAACAAACACTGCCATTTTCTCTATTTGAATTTCCCTAAAAATGAACACAGAGCAAATCTGTTATGGTTTTTCTTTCTTCAAAATTCACTTTACCAGAAAGTTGCAGTTGAAATTGGTCAAAACACTTTTGGACTGCAAATCAGTAATAAAATATTCTAACACTTTCACATGTGAACTTACAGTATGTTATCTCAAAGACAAAATTATTCTTGACATTTTAATTTCCATATGGTTCCTCAATGAAATATACAAGTTTCATTTCTCTATTTAAAGACTTTCTGAGGAATGTTAAAGGTTATAGACATGAAAACACGAGAAACGCAGACCCCCCCCTTTTCATCTTCACTACGAATTCCATCAAATGAAATCTTTCCCTCAAAAAGAGAAGAGGCTATTGGTTTTTTAAACTGTCTTAAGAAGCTCCTCTTATTCAAGGGGAGTTTGAATATGCACAAATGTGGTCACACCACGAGTCATTGGCTGGTGAATATTGTTCAGTTCCCAGCATCACTAAACATGTTGCTGGTTTTTCTGAGACACAGTTTGCACTTCTAAGGATAGAAAGGAGAAATAAAAACCTTCTAACTTGACTCGGGGTAATGATCTGTTATCATATTCATCTTTTAAATAAAAATAATTTGCTCTGCAAATGGAAGTGATTCACCGCGCTCTCATTCAACACACTTACTAATGAAAGAACACGCAAACAGATAATTTGAGGGCAATTTAAAAGAAAATGAATTGTGACAAATAAAAATCTGATACTGGCAAACACCAAAGTTCTTTTTACAGTAGATACAAGTTTACTTTACATACTAACAGTAGGCAGCAGAATCCTGATTTTATATGGCTGTCAGAAGTACAGCATTCGTGAAAGACCAGAGAATATGGTAATTTCCAAAATGGAAATTAAGTTGATACAGGCTTTGGTGATGGCCAGCTTTCTTTATATGGAGTCAGAAACAATTTTTAAACCCGTCAGACCGCAAAGCCGTGGCAATCATTTGTTGCAATATGTACGCATCTTCATTAGTAAAAGAGGCAACTCAAATTAACTCATGCCTACTTTCTTATTTTAAAAACAATACATTAACATCCTAACAGAACTGTTGCAGCAAACTCTTAAAAAATGTAATAGATTATGTCCGCAAAATTGCAACAAAATCCTGTCAATCGCAGAAATTATCATTATAATGTGTACTCCACATACTAAAAAATGAAGATGAAAAGAAAAAACACAAAACATTGTAAGTTAATATTATATGTACATTGGGGGGACAAGGGAAAGGATAATGATGACTTTTTTTTTTAAATTTTCAATCTTTCAATGAATGATGAAACATGAAGGGGGAAGGACGATGAATGTATGAACAAACGATCTTCTCAGTCTCTCTTCTTCGCGCACACAGTTTGAATGAACGAACGAGGGGATGAAAAACCTGACAAGTTTTCTGAGAGTTTATTCGTCGTCTTCATCTACTTCTTCCTCGTCCTCATCCTCTTCATCTTCACTTTCTTGCTTCTTTGACATCGGAGCTTGTGCCACCGGCATACCCCCCTTAGGTCTCTTCTTGTAAGCAGTCATTTCCTAGAAACAACAGCCGAGATAAAATTTCTATCTTGCTGGAATGTGAAACAATCCTGCCAAGTTTCAAAGTGATATGCAAATGGAATAAGCACAACAAAATGGGACTTCTGACATGTATCGGCTGAACTGACGCGTGGTCCAGCGAGCCATACGCTGTTAGCACAAAACTAAATTGTTACCCCAGAGCTAAGTCCAGATGTGAGCCAAATATTATGAGAATCTAAATATCTTCTTCCCATATATGTTAAGTGGGCTGAAAATTTTCTAAATATTGGCATTAATGCTAAAGATGCACTCTACCACGGAAACGAGATTGTACACAGCCGTCACCTCTTCTATGTTCGGCAAATGTCCGCTAAAACACAGTCGTACTTCATGTGACAAGGCATTTTCTCATTGTCTACCCAACAAGAACTGCAATACTCACACCTTATTTTCTTATTGTCTTCAACATTATCCTCCAATCTCACTAGCTCAGCTCCTCTTAAGAGTCCAAGTCTGGTAGTCATGTCTGCTCGATTATAGGTAGTGATAACTTACAGGCAGAACTTCACAATGGTGTCCAAAAGACTATCTCGTCATTAATGTAATTTAAAAAAATCTTATTAATATTCTACAGGTAACTTAAGTGCAACATTGCTACTATTACAGTTAACATTTATACAGCTAATACCATGCAACACAAATTCCCCCCCCCCTCCTAATAGGATATAGTTAAACCAACCCCAACTCACCCTGTCATATCTCGCCTTGTCCTTCTCGGCCATTGCTTCATATTTGGATTTGAGCTCAGGATCAACATCAGACCACCTTCTACCCAGTTCCTTTGCTATATCACCAACGCCAAATTCTGGGTTCAAGGCTTTCACCTTACTGCGCTCATCATTGCAGAACCAAAAAAATGCTGACCTGATAAAACCAACATAAAAAATTACAACTTATGCTCATTTTAACCCCTCCACAGTCACAACACATCTCTGAGGCTGGGTTACTGACAATGATCAATGTTAAATGTTGTTAACACTTTATTTGCAGTAGACTGAATTATTACTTATTAAGGCAATCTTAAGCTTTATGCCTCTCCGATGAAACTTATCGCACAACCACAATAGCAGACCATCATCTTTAGAATCCATTTCATTTTATTTTCATCCCGATATAAACATTTAAAAGGCGCTCTCACCTTTCCTGCTGCCGAAAATAGACACATCATTCATTGGTAGCCATCTTGCACACCAGAATGTAGTATGCATTTACAACAGTCCAACTGCCACCATGTTATTAACATTTACAACATTTAAACATTGACTCCTGTGTACTTATTAAGTCAAAATAACCAATGCACAAAATTACTTTGAACACATTTCACAACTGTGACCAGGTTACCACAAATTACATGAATGAGCCACCATGCTCATAGGTCAGCATTAGATATACAGACACCTTGGCTGAGCCAATCATGTCATGGTCTGGGTAATATTTAGATCAGGATGAAACTAACAATTAACTCCAGCATGTCCATAGTATGAAGCCTTGAATGCCACGTATCTTGTTCTGTCACAGGCACAAAGCAAATGCATCTCATATACATATCTGTAAGTCTACTTTTGAACTGAGCTAGTTAGAAATACATTTATCTGCTGTTTTACTTGTGTAAATTATGTGGGTCAGTTCTGTAGGGCTTTCACAACGGCATCTCTAAATCCCAAACCTCGTAACAGGATCTTCATATCACAGTACATCCTCTGCAATCCCAACAAATATCACTCCTTTCTCATAATTCTCAGTATTGTATGTTTTTTGTTTAGAAAATTATGTTTTGGCTTTCTATCCTTTTATTGCATCCAATATTTCTAAATAATCGCACATTTCTACTGTTTCCGGTTCTCTCATACATATTCTGAATTCTACATCTTACAAGGCTACTGCTTCTGCCTGAACATTTTGATTCTTAAAATCTATTAGTATTTTAATGAAGAGCAGTGATTAAACTGTGGATTCTTCAAAATGAGAAAAGGATTTGTTCTATTCACTGTTATAGTTATGATAAAGTCCTAAAGTTCCCGAAGAAGATTCTTGAAAACCCTCCAGTGTTCAACACCATTCTGTGTATCTAAAGTTCAATTTCACTCGAGAATGTTGCATATACCCCTTGACGAAGGAATCATGGCCGGAGGAGAGCGAGAGGCCGGGATGGGGGGAGGGGTATGATGGGTGAAGCTTTGGTTGATGTCACAGCTAAGCGTGTGACGATATATACAGCCGAAATATAATTATACCTTCAGGAATTCATACATATATGGAATAATGATCACAATTAACAGATCAACATTTAACTACAACTCAGAAGGCAGATTTAACAGCACTTTTTAAAATTGGGTTCTCCTCAGAAGAGGGAGCCTGCCTTTACAGTTCATCACCGTTATAGCTGTGTTTAACATATTAGGTTTATCTGTAAATACACATTTCAACCCAAAATAACTCTGTTAAAAGTGACAAGCTAAAGAAAGGTTTAGTTCGGATTCCTAGTGGGAAGGATTAGGACATTTCTCTTAAGCACTGCTTCCAGCAACTATTTTCCCAGTGGTAAAAGGCAACTACCATGAAATTGATCGCTCACACGTCTCTTAACCGGCAAAAAATTTATGAATGTATTAAACTGTTTCCATTTCTCTAAATGAATTAAGCATATGCAACATTACGCAAATAATATGACAGTTTTTGTGAGACTTGTATATGTAAAAATATTTGTTCAGTCCTTATTCTACTTGTAGATATTCGCATTTCATTACTTCAGCTACAAGGTCTCTCACTGTTTTCCGACAGGAATTTCCTTTCAAAAATCCTGTGCCCCCTTGCATTCTACTTCTAAGTCAGAATGGAGCTAGTGCTGTGCTGCTAACGTTGGTAGATGAATATTCTATATCTTCAACAATTTCATCACTTGCCCATCTTCATACTGATATGAATCAGTCACTAATTTGGATGCTGTAACATTATGGGAGTTTTCAATCTCGACAGTAAACTTTGCCTAAGACCCAGTTCATCCATCTTGAGTAGACTGCCCTAAGCGATCAACTAATTATTAATTTTCAGTGATTCAATCTTCACATGGCAAACATCTAGTGGGAAGTGTATTATTCCACTGGCCACACCCTTGGCCTGAGTTTGTATAATTGGAATACAAACACATGGTCCACTTGAGACGAACCGCACGCAAGCAATGCAGCCAAAGCAATCTGCTTGAGTTGGCATTACCTCAGTTATCAGAGACCTCTAACAAGAATTAAACTAGAGAATGCTGCAAAGTTCAACGTGATATTGCAATTTGATTTGTAAGGAGACTTTTGCTGTCTACACCTACATCTACCATTCATCTACCGTGCAGCAATATTAATAGTTGCCATGATACTCAAAGTGAAGCAATTTTTCTATCTGAAATCTGTCTGCTCCTGTTTCTCTTCAACTTATAGATATTTTATCTATTACAAATTCCCAACTTAGCATTCCAGACTTATGGATCAGAACCCATCTTTATGAATTTACATGGGGACGATTATAAATTTTTAAATTGACGTCTAAATTATCACCCTAGGAAGAATTTATCCACAGAACCTTGGCAATCTATCACCAAACCACAATATTTTGAATTTGGTTTGGGAAACGCTGTAAGTTTACACACTCCTGACAAGCTAAAAATTGCCAGTTACAAGCAGAAAGTAATTATATGACGTGAAGTCAATGAGCCAACATTGCATTTCACATTCCCGTTAAAAAATTAAACGTTTTTTCTTCTCAAGCTGTTTGGAACGTTAAAAATGTGAATTAACATTATACTACAAGAAAACAATAATACCACCATCACCATTATTATGGATAGGGTGTTGCACAAGACAATGTGGAAGGAGATAAATTCATGACTTACAATGATCTTTTTGGTGCATTGGGGTCCTTGACATGTTTCCTCTTCTTACCACGTGCCTTTTCACCCTTTGGAGGTGTATACCCTTCCATTTCTGTGTCGTAACGCTTCTTATCCTTCTCGGCCATCTCATGAAATCGCTTCTTCTCTTTATCTAACATGGTCTGTAAAAGAACACAGAACCAGTCTAAAAGAAGAAAAGTGCATACAGAAACTGCATTTCCAGAAGCCCAATCCTGATTACGTCTCTCGAATCACAGTAAACATCAGGGATTCTCAACTTCTGAAAGCTGAGGTACCACGCTCATACTTTCTTTGTCCACTCACCAGTCACATGGTTGCGAATGACGACTTTTACAAAATAAGACTAAAAGATGGACTTTTATAAATTTTAAAAATGTAACATTAGTCAGGAAAACACCCATATTTCATTACTCTGTTCCTTATAGTCTAATGAAATTTTAGCTGGAATGATATTACCCCCTTATGGATGCAGGTTTATCTGTAAGGTGACAACACTTACTAAAAAGAACCCATTCTGGACTAATGTCATTTTACCTAGAAATGCCTCAATTTACTGAAACTACATGCAAACATTTTGAAAATGCTACCACAACCCCCGGCGAGTATCAGAAATTTCCCATATCTAACACAGGACACAGAATACAATACATTGTATCATATTCTGGGATAAGAATGTGACAGGAAAAAGTTTTAACTATGCAGTATAATATAATATCTAGTGTGATTATATTCACAACACCTAACTTGTATCTGGGCCCTTCCACTATTATTTTTTGTGCACCAAGATGTAACATTCTATTTTTCATTGTCCACCTCTTGTTTCTGAAGAATATGACAGGATTACACTCATCACTAACAACTGAACTGGGGGGAGGAGGAAGAATACTATATGACACCCCACTGGCCTCTGGATTATAAGCCCAAGTCTTCTACTGAAGTGCCATCCTTGCAAGATACAGTAGAACCCTGCGTTTAGTACCTTTTGGCAATTCTCAAATTGTAAAATTAACCAATTCTGTGGTGCTAGGCGACTTCACAATACACAATTTCGGGATGGAATCATTTAATTCGAACAGACATTTCACAGTGACTGTAGCTTAAGAATGGCAGGCCTATAAAGATAGCAACCCACTAGTGACTTGATATTTTATAAATCGCCTTCTGGTCACGAAATTAGGTCAACAGATGACCTGTTTTGACCTCTAGATTTTATCTGTATAGTTAGCAGCCTCTCTAACAGTAGCACTAGTCCTAGTTTTCCAAGTCGATAGGGTTTAAATTCTTTTGGGTGTCAAAAGTTCATCATTCCAACACGAGTTATAACCAGTTTATGTTGCACTACTTTTTCGACTGGGCCTATGTTGTGTTTAAAATAGTCCCCAATATCTGTCTTAAACGATATGAAATGTGAGGTTTTTAAGACGGTAAAATTGTAAATTGTGGGTTTGACGTCGTACAATCTTGTAGGTGGTTACCAATGTTTAGAAAAAATATCACCTCCGTCTTCAGAAACCACGCAACCCATGACGTAAATGAGTTTAATCTGATCCCAACGTTTTAAGCGAATATCAAACAAAATATCGACTCTTAAGGAACCTGCATGTGAATTGTGCAAGTTCTGCCATTTAGCGGACAATCCATTATTTAATAAGAGCTAGAGGGGAGAGAAGTGAGAAGCATGGATAGGGTCCAACCCCAAAACCATGCGCATTTTCGTTTTCCTGTATTATCGACGTGTTGTTCAAAACCCGGAGCAATTTATTTCTACCAGTTGTCACAAGGGGAAACTACGGGTTACGTTGGGGATGGACCCCTCCTACCCCATCCCCATCCCTTGTCCTTGGAAACGGACGGGAGGCGCCATTGATTTTTGAAAGCGGGTACACTGCTGTTCCGTCCGATACGGTAGCGCGCGCGTAGATATTTATACATATAGAAGGGGGTGGGTAGGCATAATGATGGGACAGGGCCAAATTTCGAGGTGAAATCTTAAGTAATATCAATAATCACACGGCGTATAATTGCAAAGTAGAAACAACAGTATACATTAAATTACATTAACATGACAACAGGCGAATCAAACCTCATCTTCAACTATATGAGACATCACTTAAAAATATCTAAACTCAATTGCCCCTCAAGTTGGCAACAATGCGCGGTCAGGCATAGCTTAGCCAGCCAAGCGGTCGGCCGTTCGACCGAGAGGCCAAGCTTCGCTGAAGAAAACCCGTTTGCCTTCATTTGAAAGCAAGATAATAATGCTCGGCTGCCCCTTCGAAGACGTGACGAGATACCTACTCCCAACCATTTTAAAGTCTTACACGTTTTCAAACCGTATCTAGAAAACATAATGAGCATTCGACATAAACGTTACCATCTTCAGTTTCTTTCAACTCCGAGCAAAGGATAACATGAGCCCCTACTCCTACACACAGCTTGCTTGTGAAACAATCTGGAATAGGTATCTCATGAACTGCGCCACTATGATTATACGTTTTTTCTGGACGTCCTATACCACAGCTGATGGAAATTCGAACCACGTGACCTCCCAACATACTCTACTTCAATACTGGTGAGTTTAGGAATCGTATGTCCAACGTCCAGTTGTTTGCGAAATCCAGAAATTCTCAACCTTTTCCAGACCTACGGCCACATTAGTCTTTTATTAATTCGAGATTCGAACTGCTCATTTCAAAACTGTATTTGACAAACAGTTCTGGTAGCCCGATAATTCATTTTCTTTAGCCGCACCTTCAGATCATACACCAGTTTCATTTATTAATTCGGATTTCTCAACATCAGACGTAGTCACGGTAGAGTGGTTAGCACTCCTGCTTCATATTCTGAAGGTCTCAGGTTCAAATCTCGGTCCGGAGACAGGTTATCTCGAGCTTTTTAGCAGTCTCTCCAGATAAATGCCGGAACAGCACATTGAATTTGATCACGATTGTTTCCTTCCAAATCTTTTCCAATTCATTACTGATTAATCATCTGATGCTATATAGCGCTGTTAAATAACCCAGATATTTAACAATATCAATGAGCGGGATTTTTTTGTCTTTCAGTATTATCCACACGGTTTCAAGCATCAAATCAATTTGCGTCAACAGGATGACACATTACAAAAACTGTACAAGGGCAGCACAAAACACAAAATGATCGAAATGGCCACGTGTTAGAATGCACATAATCGGTTATGTTGTCCCAAAAGTTCACTTTATGTAGCACAGGGTCTTTAAATGTCCTATGTGGCCAAAGTCTAGGCAACCTATTCACTCGCCCTATTACTGGTTTTAAAATGATAAGTCTCTAGCAGGACATTCAACTATGAACAAACAAAAATACCACATTCACAATAATCAGTACTTAGGAGTCTGACAATGTTTCTGCTACTCACTAGGAAGCACAATTAAAAATAAATGCATTACACATTCCAGCAACATTTACTGTTAGTGCTGTGCCTAAGACAGGATGTCATTGTATGACAGAATCAGGAAAACAAAACATTCATTGCCAGATTTAAAAGCAGACTAATTAAATGTCAGGACTTAGAGCCCACAGTTTACAGAGTGGTGTGCTAAACCTGGGTTATTCTGCACTGGCAGTATTATAGAGTATCCAGGAATGGAAAACCCAGATTTTAGCTGAAAATTAGTATTGTCATCTACTATTCTTTTATCGAAATATGTGCAACTAGAAAAATACCTGTGCCTTCATGTTAAGGGGAGACTATATGATGGTTTGGGGTAAAAATTCTGACCTTCATTAGTTTTAGGTTTATTTCATTAAAATCCAGTGTCATTTTGTGTCTATAATAAGTTTCTGCTCTTACAAACTTACATTTTGTATTGCCAACATAAAAAGGTACAACCTCCCCTTCAATGGTAGTCCCTGCTGTTCAAATCTAGATTTAAATCAAGTATTGCAGCAAGATTTTAGTACATTAAGAATATCAAGTTACATTTGAATCCATAAACCCAAAACTGATGGTGCAGTTACCAATTGTGACCATGTAAGTACAATCGTAATGCAAATTGCTGGGGTGGGGGATTCAATTGTTTAGATAAGATGTCTTGATTAATAATTGATCTCTTAACTTTGACCACCATTTATTAAAACTGGAGCACATTTTTATACTTTTCCATTGTTTTGGAAAATGGAAGTAACCTCAAACTTTATCACCCTTCAATCAAGCCACTAAACACATTCTGCCGGATGACAATCCCGGATTTTTTTTTACAAAATTAATCTTTTTCTTACCACCACATGAAATAAATTATGGGGCCCAGGCCTAGTACCCCCAAAACGGCCATTAGGCCTTTTTTATACCAGAAAATGTACTTCATAGACCCATGTAAGGTTCATCTTTATTTTCCTGACACTACAAAATCACACAAAGTAATTTTTATAGGATGGGAGGCCTCAATTAAAAATCAAGGGAGCCTCAAACTAAAATAATTTGATTCCTACCTAATGAGCAATAGCAAATGGTCAGTCAGCAACCAGAGTTTAAACAATAAGTTCATTTAATCCAGAAGGAAACTTTAATCTTCCAACAGCAAACTACTGTGCACCTACACATTTCTTTAAAGTGCCGGTGACTTTCATATCAATCTCAAATTACAAAGAACTTTGTAATGAAATATGTACTGTAGAAGACATAATTTACCACATTTCATCATGAACTGGTGCGAGTGCCCCCTCCCCCCCGAATGCTGAGGCATCCCACACATCATCTTAACAATTCCTGGAACAATTTCTAAACCTCAACCTCGGTAATTGAAGCAATTACACATGTTCAATCTGCATACTGACATGACCACAATTATACATCAGCAAAACATGCTTCTTCTGCTAGCCATCTTCATGATCTGCCCCCCTCTTCCACCCTTTGTAGGTGGATGAGTGAGAGGCAGTGACTTCCACATCAACTTCGTCATAATTTCTATTTCGACATAATAAATGTGTGGTTATAACAATTAACAAGAAACTTGGCAAGTGTTTCTTGAACTCTTCTTGCATTATAAAAGAAAAATAAAATGGGATAGGGGACATGCATTTGAAAATTGATTCCTTGTCAGGCGAGCTGATTGGCTGATCTGACAAGTAAAATGCCACACGAGCCAATTCCTCGTATTTCAAAAACCTGCAGTTCGTTTCAATCAGCATCATTCCAACCTACTTAACGACGTTCCTCACAAGCGTGCTTGGCCAATTCTGATTCTTCCAGAAGACCCTGTCTGAGATTATGTCAATGTTCCCGAAACTGTACTAATGATGGACTACCTGTTTCATCAAAGTAGCTTCTGCACATTCATAGACAACGCTTTCATCATGACAGATACATAAGACGCACACAGACACACAATTAGAATACAAGTATATAATAAGACAGGCGAACAATCTCAACATTCCTACAATTGTCAATGAACAGTTATCAGTGTTTATGTTTCTTGCATGTAAATATATTTTCTCACTGGGCTTCATTTATACTTGCAGGTCACATAAATACGACAGCTTTCTGGAATATTGGACTATATAATCTTGTACAAACTGACTCATGTTTCAGAGGCATGCACTGCCAACATCACGGCTTACTCGTCGCTATGATGATGGAAGCAGTACAAACCTCTGAAACAGTGGCCAATTTGTATAAGACTAAACGGTGGAATATACCAGAAGGCTTTTTGCCTTCATGTTTGCTGACATGACAACCTAAAATATCACTAATTCACATAACAATTTTCACAAATCAATTCAAGTGCACCTTTGCTGATATAATATGAAAGTTTACTATATCCTGAGAAAACTTCACACGGCATCCTATATTTTAGACATCTTGAACAATGCATAAGGATTCTTTTCACATAAAATTATTTATGCAACTGCATAAAGCAATATCAGTTTATCCATCTGCATCCCAATACTGTCAGTTTACTAATTATGCTGAAAGAATGTATGACCAATCTTGTAACTTTCATAACCGGATAATTTTAACACGCTCCTTTGATTAATACAACTGTATGGACTGTCATTGTCACAAATATCTAACCCGGAGTCAAATAAATTAAAACCATTATCTACTATTTTTAAACACAGTTAAAATATCTGAATGCCTGAACCTCTTAGGTAGTAACATGGCACGCAGAGATTTTGACAATCCATGAAACCAATAAACCTACATCCTAAATTAATTAAAAATTAGACTTAACAGATTACAGAGGGTGAAAATGCTCTCCATTATTCCACATGCATTCCTGGCACCACAAAACCACACAAAAGTTCTTGAAAATAGAAAAACCGCTTAACATATTTTCCTCCAGGATTTTCACTTTGTAATGGCTTGATCTGTAATTTTACCTTTATGGTTTCCCTATAAATAAAAGTTACATGGGCTCAAGTCAGGTGAGCGAGCTGGTATCAAACGACTACTATTTCTGATCTTAAACAGGTGCTGCTGTGTCGACGGATGCCCTTGTAAGAGCAATATAAGTCACTTAGAAAATGGCTGGATTTTATGTTCTACACATCTTTCGGAACTGCATCCCCAAAGTAAATTGATCAAAAGTGCACTGACTTATTCACTAAGTGAGCTTAATCACGCACTAAATGTTTTAACACGAGTTTCGTGACAGTTAACGCTCATGATTTTAAAAACTCATTCTCATACACAAGGCTTATGAGGAACATGTACGAAGTATGTCTGAGCCTAATATTCATTTCACTTAACTACTCCTCAGTGGGCACTCCATATTTATTTGTCTAATAATCCAGTCAATGAATATTTCTATGTAGAAATGGGACATCCTCAAATTTACTCCAGAATCTTTTTCTTGTGGAACCACATTTCACATAGGTGTCATTGAAATGTGACGAGACTCGGGAAACATGGTAGCTGTTCCAAAATTTTCTGACAAGCTCCTATATTCTACAAACTTAATAAAATTCACATGCCCATCTTAAAGCCCTGCATACTATATGCTCCACGAATTATCCTAATGAGGCTCAACACTAGCCTTCACTTATATTGTTATTACATGTAAATTACTGACTTTGTAGTATTACCCTATCATTCAAAAACTCTTTTGTGAAAAATAGCAGCCACAAGTTTAGATAAAATTCTTGTGTATTGTTCAAGAACATTAATTTCTATGGACTACTACATCATTCTCATTATACTAAGAGAAATTTCAAAGATTTGGTAGGCCAGACAATTTGATGTACACCTCAGAAATAACCATTATGAGAACCTGTTATTAAGTACAAAAGAAGAAAAATTCAAATGTAACTCACCTTCCACCTTTCTGCACACTTCTTTGAGAACTCAGCAAAAATTACATTCTCATCCGGATGTTTTTTCTTATGCTCCTCCCGACAAGTTTGAACAAAGAAGGCATAGGCAGTCATTCGCCCCCTGGGTTTAGCATCAGCCTTTCCTCGTGGCATCCTACCTCGATTTTGTTGCTGTGGCTGTAAAATTATAATGAAGCATTACAACAATAAAAGTCTTCATCACCAGCTGTACGGGAGTCAGCACACCGTATTTTGTAACTGTGTGGTGTGAAACCTGTTGGGAATTTAATTGAAGAGGCTGGCCTGAACATGAAGCACAGCAGTTAACACCCCTGCCATAAAAATATAACTGTAATGACACTAAATGCACAAAAACAATAAAAACACTGTACAATCATTACAAATCGTCACAAGCACCTGCGATCATGAAAGCATTCGCCCAACCTGCAACTGTAAAGCATAATTCAACAAATGTCACAGATCGTCACCCCTCATAGTTGGACATAAAGATTAATAGGTCTTACGGCAAATGACTAAACCCAAATTCTTCCGCATGGAGCGGCCAAGAACAGCTTAGAAACTAACCAAGCCATATAAAATGCCCTCAAGGCGGGAATGTCACGGTCAGCGGGATACACAAAGGACGCGTTTCTTTTTTCTTTTTTGTGCTTGTTCTTCGTCATTATGCTGCCGCGCCTCGGCCACCTGCTCTCCCAACTACGCGGAACTCCAGTGTCACTTAATACCAACACGTGGCCCACTGCTAAAAGTGACAAGAAACCACTTCCGCTCTCCCTGGACACACATTCTTACGCAGACATCACGTTAGCAGCACGGTTCAAAATCGATCGCCTTCTCCGTTTCGTCACATTAATATGAAAACGTCATATATCGGACGGCAAATTCGCCAAAGCCCGCGACTTTCTGAAGGTTCAACATGCCATGTGGTGTAGCTTCTGACTTCTAACACCCTCCAAATCCTATTTTTCACATACACACACGAATTAATGGCATACCGGATTAACAAATTGGTTCAAATAAATGACAAAATACATACGGTAACGACAAAAGAACACCGGTGTACGCAGCGGTAGGAGGAGAAACGTAAACATTCCCCTCCTCTTCCACACACGCGACGAAGTGGTAACATACATACCACTGAGGGGGGTGTTGGCACATTCTGAATTGGGTTCCCCATGCCACTTGGGTACCACCACTGAGGAGCAGCACTGCCTGCTAAAGAAGCGTCCCCAGGTCGGCCACCGGCGCCAACCAATCCTCCATTACCGCCTCCAACCATGCCGTCACCGAGCCTATAGTCGTACCCTCCTCGCATGCAAGAGGCAACCGGTGACGAGGAGACAGTGGCCGAAGTCATCGTTGTTGCAGGGTTTTGGAAACTGCTGGCCATCTTATACGAAAAGAGTTGCTGAGTCGCTGCCGCGGTACTTCTGGCAACAGCATCATGTTGTGCCTGCTGCTGAGCCGCTTGTTGTTGTTGTTGTTGCTGCTGCTGCTGTTGTGCTGCGAGTTGTTGATGGTGCTGATTCAACAAATGTTGATGATGCGACTGTAACGACTGCTGATAATCGGTTGTCGTTATCGCGCCCGGCCACCACACCGCGTCCTCCCTCGCTCCCCAAGCACCACGATGGTGCTCCGACATGGCTTCACTACACTACACTTTCCCAAGAGCTAGGTTTAGGCTAGGCACTAAGCAGAGGAGCGGGGACTTTCCGTAGCGTTCCGGACACAGGCAGGCAGCAAGGGGGGGGACTCTTCGCCAGTGTGCGCCTAACGTGGGGGTCCTGTTGCGACGTTGCCAAATGGGATCGACTCACAAAGAAACAGCTTTACTGTCCAACCAATAACCCGCCTTCAGCTGCGCCTCGGCGGGGATCAAGGGGAAACCGCTCCCGTCCCTTTCTTGAAATTCGAGGTCAGCCCTTAGACACAAGTTGTTGCTCGCCAGAAACAAACCACTAGGGTTAACTGTTTCGTAATGTTTCAACAACCGTTTGGATGGGCTAGACAGACAAAAATGATATACCATCAAGCTCACATCAACCACCAGACGTATCACAGAAAATTATTCAATTATACCGCACTGTCAAAGCATGACAGGTGCGCGTTCTTCTGACAACACGGAACACATTCAATGTTTAACAATGGAAACATTCTTTTCTTCTAACGGGTTGCAGTGAAGTATATTAAAGTGTTGGAACTTTTAAATAAATTTCTGAGCGAAGACGGGCGAACTTTTCCTGCCGCGGGCCCTAAAAAAATACCTCCCGTAACAGGCTCTGAAACCAACTGGCAACGCCGCACTTTGTGACGCCGATCAAGCGAGTACAGCGCCCTCGACACGCAGCGGACCGGACCGGAATTAGACAACGCGGAAACACTCCCACTCCTGCGAAACCGTGCCGTACTGAGGAGCGCTGGGTCCGGGTCGGTCAATAAGACGATGGACGCATTCCCAGGGCTGAGGTTTGCCTGGGGGTTGTCGGACCGTCACGAGCCGAGCCAAACAAAGCTTGGTTCGCTCAATGCTTTCCTTGCAACGGGTACAGCCCCCCGCTCCCAACATAGAAAGGGGGGGGGGGTTGCCGAAAGGGTGGATGAAATTTCCTCATCCCCCTATTTTCCGGCCCGGTTTTGGCAACTGTCTTTTCCGTTCCTCACCAATATTTATTCGCATATGGGTCATTAAAATTACCGAATTCAGGAACTGTAAACTTTATGAATCATCTTCCTTTCGGTTCAACAGGAAGAAAAATGTCTTCACTTTGGAGTGTAATCCGTTCCACCTCAGAACATTGAACTCACCCCATTTTTTCGCGCCATATCTATTACGTCATGTGAAATCACTTGACAAGTGACAAGCGCAACCTCGTTACCCACATGACCAACGTCAACGTATAAGTGCTGATACAAAAATATTGATCTTATAACTGTCCTTAGAAACAACCATTCCTACAAAACATGCACTTCGTCATTTACATTGAGATTATAGTGTACTCATAACTTTATTAGCTGTAAGAGTTCAGAATGACAATTTCGGAGACTTAAACTCTTAATTTCATTTAGCACAGAATTATAACCAAAGACAAATTAGTTGACTTTGATTGATCAAGCTGTGCACACAGGCAATTAAAATTAAATTAACTTTTTCAGGCATATTAAATTCCAATTGTCAAACTCAATATAAATTCCTTCCAGAATGAACACAAAATGTATGGTTTTCAGCTGTTTCCACTTGCACAAATAATATACAACACTGAAGCCACATTCACACGTTTTCCAGAATATGTAATGTATCACAAATAACAGACTTATAGTGAAGATTAATTATTATGTTATAAGCAAATATATATAGCTCACAGCAAATTCCAAGAAAATGTTACTTTACCAGACAAATTAATCAAAAATTATATTAACTACCCAACTTTCACAGTAATCCTTAAAAGGGAGCCAAAAGCTCTAAATTTCAATTCTCACCAACTATACAGAATAAACAGATGTGTTCTATTAACTATCAATAAATATAAACTTGAATCTATGTTACTATAAAATAAACTTGGAGCAAAAATATATATAAAACACAACATATATACAAATCACACAACTGATGATGTATAAGCATAAAATACCACTATAACCCAATGGAAATGGCAACTGCTAAACAAAGGTTAATAACATCAGTAGCCATTCTTCATTAAATTCACTGTTCGACCTTCATTTCTCCTTCCCGCCATTTTATATAACAACAGTATCGCCATTTTGCTAAAAAAATCATTATTCGATATTTATTTTCCAATCCTCGAAGCCTTTGTTTGGATAGCAATCACCACCCGACATGCCGGGTCGCAATCAAATAGCACCGAGTACTGCCCATAAGGATACTACGGGTTGTATTGGTAGCCATAGGGAAAAATTTATTTACGAGAAAAATCGGACAAAGACGACACAAATCCCAACATTATGACTGAAAGTGCCCTTAAATTTACGCACTGTACCTTGCTTGTTCAAGTTACTGGATTTAAATAAATTACTACACAGTATTTGAAGAATCACAAAATCCCCTATGCTATTATAGGGACAACACGTATACAGTCCATAGGTTAGTACAGAGCCGATCCCTAGCCCTGCCTAATGGTAAATGGAGTCCACATAACACGGCCTTGGCTGCCATTTGGAACAAAAGCGAAAACTTTCTAACACCAAACAAAGCTTTTATATATTTCCAACATAATCCTTAAAATTTATATGAGTAGTAACTAAAAATACCTTTAATTTGGTAAGCTACTAACATTATACGACACACAGTTTCAGAGAGAAAAATATTTTCTCTTATGCTTATCCCGTTCTCTATGCTAAGCTTATGGCAGCCATTTCGATGACGGTTGTATTGAATAGAACGCAGCAGATTTATATAATTTAGTTTCCACGTTTAAAAACACAGCAAAGGCATACACTTCACACAGAGAACACAATATAATTTCATCTGCTGATATCATAATTTTCTTCTTCTGACACCATCATAGTAATGAAATATAAAAATATTCTTACCTTAACAAGACTGGAACGACCAAAGGCTAGCTGCTACGAATATCGCGACCCCACGCCACTTATGCGGTACATGGATGTAACATAGGAAAATATTCTCCCGTTCTATTGGTCAAAATCAAATGGGCCGCAAAAATTAAACCAATCAATGTGCTGGTTCTATGCAACGAAAAGTCGGTTCGTCGAGCCAATGACAATGCAATTTACATTCAGGGCGGTAAATTTTTATTCAATGTATTTCAGCAGACGAAAATTCCCAGTTGCTGTTAATAATAGAGCAACGGTGACCTCCTGAGACAGTTACTGCTGCAGAAAATAAGGACATCTGTCTTAAAGTTACTGAGCTTACTCTTGCCGGTATATTATCATTATTTGTGCTACAGTTTTAACATTTGTGTATTTTTGTTGATCCCATTAGTGGGCGTGGTGTATGTTGGGAATATTTGAAATGAACCAATCACACACTTAATCTATTGAGGTATGACAACAACAAAACTTTCGCCATTACTTGAGAAAGAAGTACCACGCAGAGGCGGATGGGGACGTGACAAGTGGATATAAGGTATGATTGTGAATCAGTTTTTGCGCGTGAAGTGAATCGAAACCTTATTATTTACCTTTTGTAACAATTCGAACATGAGCAAATTATTATTCAAGTTTCTCCAAATTTGGTGAGGTTATGGGGTACTTACAAAAAAGCACAATACGACACTGCTGTTGTAGTCTTTGATTCAAGATTTAAATAGACTGCATTGTTAATCTAAATGTACTTGTAATCTGTTGGCAGTTTATGTTTGTGGCAAGATGAATGGCTTCAGCACGGGCGAAGAAGATTCACGAGGGCCCCCAGATCAGATATGTTGTCTTGTAGATGAAGAGGAACGGTGCCTTCGCCCTGCAGGCAACGCATCGTATAGTAAACGAATCCAGAAAACTGTGACACAAAGGAGACTTAAACTTCACCTTGATCATGCAGTAAGTCTAATTTAAGCAATAAATACTATTATTATTGATGTGATAGTTGAAAAATTGCATGTTATTATTTGTTCAGGCTAGACACATCTACATCTGTGATTATCACAAAGACGTAATCCAAAAAGCAAGAACAAAACGACGGAGGAAGGATTCAGAAGATGACTCAAATGAAACTGATACAGATTTACCAGAAGTGGACCTCTTCCAGTTGCAAGTAAATACACTGAGAAGATACAAGAGGCATTACAAAGTACCAACAAGACCAGGGACCAATAAGGCTCAGCTGGCTGATGTAAGTAGTAGTGTGTATGAAAAATATTTGAAGTAAATGCATAATGACTGTTTACTTATTAAAATCTAATTTTTTTTGCATCAAAATATTACAGATCTTTTGGTCTACATGTGAGGTTTTATTTTTGAATGTAAGTGGCATATATTTCCAGCAGATTTTTGTCATAAGTTAAATTTTAATATAATTTTGTTAATAAACTAGTGAAAGTGACTTTTCATTGATTTGTGATTGTTTTAATTCATGAATAATTACAGTCTTATAAAAGACCTATAAATGTATATTGGGCTAACTTGTGCATGAGTTCTAAAATCTTTTTTGTGTTATCAAAATATGAAGTTGGTAATGTTTTCTTCCATATTTAAACTAATATATTGACATTTCTCTTCCTTTTCAGACTTTAATGAAGCATTTTAAAACAATTCCAGTGGTTGAAAAAGAAGCTCTGACATTTTTTATTTACATGGTCAAATCTAATAGTAATAAACTTGATCAGAAAAATGGTATTAGTGCAGATGCAACATAGTTTTTAAAGTATTGTTATGATTATGACGTTTTTGTTATAAATGTGCAATTTTAAAATATAAGGGATATAGGAAACTATTCTTAAAGTATGTGAGTGGAGGGAGTGTGTGTTTTGAAACATGATGAATGTTGCTTGTTGATAGCAAAGGAACAAGACATGCGGAACTAATACCTGAACTGTTGGCAGTTTGAACACAAATTATTGCAGTTTCCAGTTTTATTGTCAATGTCTAGTCTAGATAAGTTATACAAATATTTGATGATTCATAAAGTGTCTGGTGTACCAAGTGTGTATGTATGGTATTTTGTGAAAAATTACAGATATTTTTATTTGAATGTAATTCAGTCTGCTGGTATATCTAGATGCCATTTTTTAAAATAATGATGTTTTTAAGTTTAATTTATTTGTATATATTTAAATCATATGGCAGCATCAACATGGTGGACCCTGATTATAACATGCTTTTAAGATGTTTACGTTATGGTGTAGATCAGCCTTTCAGAGGGCCATGTCACTTTGACAGGAAAAAGTAGGTAATGAACGCTGGTTTAAATGCTGAACATTATCATTTCAAATATAACAGTATTTTTTGGTATGAAATACCAGATGCCAAATGGCACAAATCTGGTGGGTGTGAGAAGATACTGGCACAAGATGAAGAGTTGAGTAAAACTTTTAAATATATTGCAGGAATTTTCTTACAACAAAGCTTTTATCATTAGTTCAATGTAAAGTTATGGATATATAAAAATGCAATAATTTTCAGCAGAGGCGAAACGTGCTTTCACTGTCATATTAAAGATAAATATCCTATGGTAATTTCTGCTTAAGCATAAATTGCCATAGAAAAACTTTTATTTGTTTGCCAAGTAAATAGTTTGGTTTTTGAAAAAACGTTATTTTGTGCAGATTAGCAACCTTGAGGTTGACGGTAAATGAATGTAACGTAACATATTTATTGTGTTGCATTCATCAGATACTTTTTTCTGATTAAATCTAATTTAATGTTAAAGTATCGGTAAGAGTTAATTTTATACTGAGTTGAAATGACCGCTCTGAATGCTAGTATTGACTGCAAATATAATTTTAGGTATGGATTTTATTAATAAGCCCCCAGTACTTTATTTCAACAATAATTTTTGCACTGATGCTTTGTGTTTTTCTGTGAATTTAAAATCAAACCAAGTACAAAAGATTATTCTCTTTTTCCCCATTATTTATTAGCATACTGGAGAATGAATTTTATTACCCTTTTAAGTACTTCAAATTACACTATACACTTTTATAATAATAATAATAATAATAATGTGTATTTATAGCCATAGTTCTTATATTTGGCATACAGCACTTGTGTTGTCATGAATCTATTTCAGCAGCATTGTGAGAAAGTGCTACTTTGTGTTGTGTACAGATACAAGTATGAGAAATTCATGCTTTTTATTCACATGTGCCCCACTGAGAATCTGATATGTCTGTTTTATCTGTGTTGAGATCAGCATTTAATATTTTGTTTGGTTGACAGTCCATCTAAACAACAATCTTTAGGTGAAGATGACCACTTAAGGTCAAGAAGTAGTGGATTTTAATAAATATTGAAACTATAATAAAAAATTTGTTGTGTAGACTGGCTGTCAGCCTGTCAATCAACACAACAGAATGCATCCCTTTATACTGTTTAATATTACATTTCACATTTTCCATTCTCTGAACTTTTGTTCAAACCCCACCTCCAGTACATCTTTTCAACAGTGTTCATGCATTTGAGCTTTTTATGCACTCATCCACATGTATGTTGCCAGATTTGTCACATAATTTTATTTATGCGTGTACCAATGTAGATTGCATGAAACTAACCTAACAAAGCCTGTGGCTAAATTCACATTTGTTGGAGGGTAGAAGGACATCCCAATGTTGGCAAGATATTTATTTTTGCATTTACTACAGATGAAGAGCTTGCATAGCTTAGTCAATATGGTGACTAGCTATGGACTGAACGACTGGGGTTCGATCGATGACGGGCAGAGGAGTTTTCCTGTAGCCTCTGCATCCAGACTGGTTCTGGGGCCCACCCAGCCTCATATCCAATAGGTACTGGAGTCTTTTCCTCGGGTAAAGCTCACCCAAGTAATGACGCTGTTCACTCACCCCCACCTAGTGCAAAGGTTAAGAATGAGTATGAGCTATATCACCTCTCCCCCCAAGTGCCTACATGGTGTATAGTGGGACAGCTTTACTTTATTACTACAGATGTTCATCTTTAAATAATGTTACTGTATCAAACAATTATGCATGCAAGACAGGTATGGAACAATTACCCAGCTCATGGTGAATATCTGACCTATGCCATTGTGTGGAGTCTGTTTGGTGGTTGGATCTGCCAGTATTCATTGTCTCATGTTTTGGATTCCGAACTCTTAAGAACTTGCTGAATTGTTATGTTTAGTGAAGAAGATAATTTGCATACAGTAAAATTTTAAGCTGTTTTAATATTTATTCAAGCATGAAGTGTAATCTATTTTTAAAAAATACCCTTTTTGTTTTAATTGAAGGGTGGCAGGATACATTTTAATTTACTAAAATCATTATAGTATTTGTTTCAGTGATACCTCTGAATTATTATTATTATATGTGCTGCATTGGCAAGGCTAGAATTGAGAGGGAAACAGGTATTTCTTTTATTTTTCCATGATTTTTTGTTCATTGGCATTCTGATTTAAAGGTTTTGTATTCAAATTTGACAGTAGTAAAAATGGAATGGACTTTGAGATCCAACATAACTGATACAAAGCAAATTTGCTTTTAACCAACCATATATTAACTTAACTGGGGGTTTTATTTTGTTATTTCTTGTCATTTGAAATGAAGATCAGTGTGGTTGATTAATTTATGAAGACTTAGGAAGGATTTTGTATACTTTGATTGTCACCTTGTGTAATCTTATTTATGTTTGAAAGTGTAAAGGCAATTTTTACTCCTTACAGTGGGATCCAGTCCAATGAAACACTCTGATTTAACTCCAGTTCTGCAGTGTGGTAGTTGACCTTCCTCTGACATCCCTGGCCAAAAGTGTATTAACAATCTGCTGTTTCATAATGCATAACTTTGCATCTGTTTATTTTATTCTTTGTTCATTCACATTTGAGAACAAGAGGAGTGGTTATTGTGACTATTTTTTAAACAATTTAATAGCTTTAAGTGTTTCTCAAAAGTCATGTCCTTACTGCTAATATATTTTGTCACACGTCTCTGTATCATTTTTTGTTCTTGAAAATTTGAAGTGTTTATTTTCAGCATTTCATGTCAAGAAATCAACTGCATTTTTTTAATGTTAATGGTAATACCTATGTGAAAAGTGGTTCTATAAGAAAAGCAAATAGGATATTCTGACATACATATCAAGATATTAGATTTCTATACAGAGAACTGTAAGGCAATTAAGACTGACAGTCATTGCTGGACAAAAAAGCCAGATCTATACGTTAAGTGCTCAGTAAGTAGAAACTGGATGAAATTTGATTCATATTGTTTCAGATCTGTAGAATTTTTTTGGATAAGTCCAAATGAGTTTCTCGTAGTAGGCAGATGTCAGTAGAATGATCGCGCAGAAATTTTGCAAAATCTTTTGCTTACAGTAGAACACCATTAATATTACAAAACATACATCCTCGTGGTCAAACAATCAATATTTAGTTCTCTTACCCACTGTTGTATGAGAAAAGATGTATGATTAGGACATCTGTGATGATCATGATATTTGTTGTAGAACTATCTGAAAAGATTGGTGTGTCAATGCAATAATAGCTATTATTTGAGGTTCTCACAGTGGTGAAGATAATGGTGTTTTGGGCTGACACCATATAGATTCATAAGTAAATACCAGTGTTTTGGAGAAACATACTGTTTCCATGTTCAATAATTTTCTGATTGCCCCATGTAGACGACATTGAGTGTGGTAATTGTTACTGTCAAAGTTGGGGGAGGGGGTGATGCCACTTGTGTTGTTTTGATGGGTAATGTTTGATATTTACTGTGTTGTGAAGATAGAACCATTTTCATTATATGCATTTTGAGTGAGAATTTTGCTTGCTTAGCATTTTAGCTCATTTCCAATTACTGAATTCCTGATAATTTAGTGGATGTCTTACAGAGCTGCAATTACAACAAATAAGTGTTAGGACATTCTTGGGGTAGATGAAGTCCCATGCATCTTATACATCATGATATGCACAGTAATTTGCATAATGTTTGACTACTGACAGCAGCAACATTGAATTTACAATCTTGGCAGTTGATATTCTTTCACAGTAAAAGAACTGTAGCATGATTTGATAAGGTGCACATGATCCTTTTATTATCTTTAACATTGTCTAGCTGTATCCAAGTATGCAGAAGATGAAAATGGTTATTTGTTTTTCCTTCATATGGATGAGATTTTATTCATTCAGTGAAGATTGATTTGAAACCGCTGTCCTCTAGCAATCTGAAGCCAAAGCCCATCTAAACACTATATAAAAAGTGCAGTTTATAACTTAAAATGCAATGCTTATCTATTTTAAAAACAGTTAGTTAATGCTGTTTAAAGAAATTGTCAGTGTTTGGTCCCATGTCACCCCTAATAAGGGCTTCTATGTTAGAACTGTACAAATATTCCTATGGTATTCATTATTTCAATACTGTTATTATTTATTCTATATTTCTACTTTTATTTCATTTCCTTATTTTTATCTTATCATATCTTCATTTCACATGTTGTATTTCCTATCTACTTCCATGGTTCTGTCTTTTGTTTTCCCTGGGAAAATCTGTTATTTTGGTAGGAAATAAACTCAGAGGTATAATTGGGAATATTAATTATATGGATCTTCACATTAGCAAGTTGGCAAGACTGTACATTACCTTTATTCTTACATTGCCAGTGCAGTTATTTTAGTTCTTTGAAGGTACCTGCATCTATTAATTTCCTGTCTGACAGCTGACCATTAAGGTAAGAGTTTATTTGTGTTACTGTATGATTTTGAGGTTAAAATTTAAATACAAGTAGTGTATGACATGAAAATTACTTTTACACAAATTCAGAAATAACCTAAAAAATCTATAATTTTTTCAAGGTATTACATTATTCATTGAAGTAATATTAATTTTATTGTTTCTGAAAGCCAGATGTTTGTTTTTCCAATTTGTTTCTTGTTTCTCCCATGATACCAAATTTCTGGAAATTTTACATCACTAGTCCTTGTGTAAGTTGTCACTGTGCTTAAGCACCATGACATGAAGATATATGGGAGAGTGAAGGTAAAGTTCCACACATTCTATATTAGATGCAGTTGAATGATCTTCATGCTATTGCTCATTTATCTGTCCAAGCAAAGGACCTCACCCTTAATATTAATTAAACAGGATATTACGAAGTGGGCCTCAGACCAAGTCATAAGTGGCAAAAAAGATGAAAATTCTTACTTTTGCCAGAAATAAACCCCAGCCATTTAACACCTTTACTGACTATTATACTAGTTATTTTCATGGCTATTCACTGAGCCATGGACAGTTACATTACATCATTATCCCCAATTCTAATTGGTGGAAATTTTTTTAGGCATTTTTAAATTTATTTGCCCATTATTATTCAGCCCTCCATTACCCAAAACAATTGTAAGTTTACTATAAAAATGGTTTTATTATTACATTAAAAAATAAAAACATTCCACAGATGACTGTCATATTGTACAAGACATGAAATGTTTTACTTACATTACATTTCTAAGCAATTTTGCATAAAATTAATAAATGAGACAAAAAAATAATTTCATAATACAAATACACTTTCACCATTGTTTCACTGGGTACCAATTTCTAACAGTTTTCTTTGATTTTCTCTTTGATGTCCCACTGCCTTCAGTACTGTTTCTACCCAGGTTCACATCTGCTGCATTCAACATCACTGTTTCTTCTTCTTCACTGTCTCCACTCAGTTCTAAGCAAAACAAATTGGAATACCATATTACAATGGATCAAAATTCACAACATTAATTTATATGAAGTAGTTTGGAAAATGTAATTTATACTCTGTGGAAAATGCAGCGTTTGGAAACATTACTTTATGTGACACAATAGTATTTTAAATAAGTCCAAAGGGTTCTGAAAATGGTATGTAGACACTTCTTTCTCCTTACCTTAATTTGATAACTGAGACAGATTCAGTCTCCAAAAAGTTGTGGGTTTTAACAAATAACCAAGATGATGAGTAATGTCTAAAGCAAGTCAAGTTGATAGTATTTTAAATGTAACACAAATCTCATAATCAACAGTACAGTGTATAAATCATGCATTGTGGTTAGTGGCCAGTCTCTGCAATGCAACCATTTTATTTATTTGTGGCTCTAATGACTTTCAGTACCTTGGATTGTTTTTTAGTCAAATTACATGATAACTAATGAACTGGAAAGGATACAGAATGAAGTAGTTATAGCCTAATTTAAGGACTATCCCAGCATGTGACTGGAAGGACTGAGGAAATACATGAAAAATCTCACTCAAGACAGCCTGTCTTGGCTGAGATTTGAACCTGAGACATTCAGTATAATGCATCAAGAATGAAGACTTCTTTTGGTTATCAATATAGAGACAGTACAACTACAGAATTTTACACTATATAGTTATGGTTGATCATAATTCACTGCTGTCTTTTACTTATTCTATAAAAAATGTAAATAACACAATAAGGATTATCAAC